GGGGTAGGAAGGAGGGGGAGGGGGAGGGGAAGTAGGAGGAGGAGATGGAGAGGGAGGGGGAGGAGATGGAGAGGAAAGGAGAGGAAGGAGGGCGAGGAGGGTGTAGGTCGAGATGGCGGAGGAGGAGGAGGAGGGGGTAGTTGGGTATGAGGGATGGGGAGGAAGGGGGAGGAGGAGGTGGTGAAGAGGAGGAGTGAGGAGTGTGAACAGACGCTGGAACTCATATATCACTGTACCGGTACGCCAAATTTCTTTAATGGCAAAGACATGTAAAAGCTTTTTTCATTTACAGTGTTTTTTCCGTCATTCATCACTTCCTCCCTTTCATGCAATAGCTCCTTTTATGCACAGTATTTTCCTTTCTCCCTTCTTTCTTTCCTTCCTTCCTTCCTTCCTTGTAATTATAATAGCTCTTTTTATTCATAGTATGACTTTTTTCTTCCCTCCTTCATCCTTCCTTTTTTCCCACCTTCCTTTTATGTAATACACCGTACCAGTTATACTTTTTACTGACTTTTTCCTTCCTCTGGTATCCTTAGGATGTTGAGGGGAATAGGCCTACTGGTAACAATTTTTATAATTCACAGCATCCCCCCTCCTCCCCCCTTCTTTCTTTTCACTTTTCATCATCCCTTCTTTTCCCTCCTTCCATGTTTCCTTCTTCTCTTCCTTCTTTCCTTCCACTTTTCCTTCCTTCCTTCCTTCCTTCCTTCCTTCCTTCCTTCCTTCCTTCCTTCCTTCCTTCCTTCCTTCCTTCCACTTTTCCCTCCTTCTTTCCTCCTTTCTTCATCCCTTCTACTTCTACCTTTCCTTCGTTTTACTTTCTTTTCTTCTGTCTCTCCTTCCTTCCTAACCTTCATATTTCTTTCTCACTCGCGCTAGATCTACCACCAAAGCGTGTGCCTCACCTGCAGGATGAAGCTGACGACCAGTAGAACAGAGGAGAGTTTCAGAGGGAGCGTACTGTTCTGGCAGGAGAAGCTGATCTTTGTGTCTTCGTCATAGAACGGAGTCATCGTCGGCCTTGGCTTGTCCACCTCCTTCTCCGCTGGCTGTACTGAGTAACCTCGGGGCTGATTGGACGCCGAAGACGAACCGGAAACGATGGACGACGCCATGTTGTTGAATTTCGGGTCGTCTGTTGGGTAGGAGTTTTTTGTGATTTTTGTGTACCCAAGTCCTCTGGGTTCAGTAACTATTATAACAGCTCAGAAACTCTCGAAGAGGGATATATTTATAAATCAGGACAATCCTCCTCAAGTTTGTCGTGTGCCGAAAGTTTCAAACGAAATATTCTGTTTCTCAGGGGGGAAAAGGACTAAAAATAGCAACGTGCCCTTTACCGCCCGTCTCCTATGACACACTCAGGGATCCTGAAGGGTTTTCCCGTCAAAGATTCAGGGAAATTAGAGATGTCCCGATTTGTTGGAATTTGTCCTTGAGTGGCTGCAGCGGTTCGCCTGCAGTGGGGTAGCGTGGCCTCAGTGGAGACAGGACCTGGAACAGAAGAACAGAACAATATGGTCGCATTAGAGAAGTATTTGTGAATTGAAGGAATAGTAGTAGTAGCACAGCAGCAATGGCGATGCTTATGCTAGTATTGTTGCTGTAATGATTCCTACCGAGGCTGACTGGGACAACGTATTCAGAAAAATGGTGAAATGGTATACATGTAGGCTTAACGCCCCCATCAATACTGTTGCGATATTTAAGAGGCGGGAACTTCCGAAAGGACCGAACCAAGTAGGAAATTCGTGTAAAGTACCTTTCCCAAGGACACAGCGTCGGGCCGAGCTGAGGCTCGGACCCTCGAACCTGCAATTTCACGATTACAGGTCCGGTAGCCACAGACGCCACCGTATTTTGACAGATAGACTGGGGAATTTGCTAAAGCAGTAGCCAACATCATGTAGTCACTTCGGCGTCAAAATACTATTCGGGTACTAACCTAGAAGAATACAACCGGTGGTGGCTAGGACTAGGACAAAAGAAAAAAATAAAGAAAGATAAGTGCACCCAAACACTTGGTTTGTTGTGGTTTTTAAAAATGGCAAACAGTGTAACCTAGAAACGGTGCACTCTGGCTCGGACGTAATTCCGATTCTCTATGGGGCTCATCGTCTGACCCAATTTGGGGTTAAATAAAAATGCCGGGCGTACTCAATTAATGCGAGACTGGTGTTTCTTCACCCTTTATTTAGTTGCTCATTGTCAAGTTGCTCACTTCGCAGCGAAGTATTTATAGAGAGCAAAAGAGTTGCGGCCATGACGGTGCAAATCTCTGATATCACGGTTCATGTCTATGGAGAGCGTACCTCAAAAAGATCGTTGCTTTTACGGTGCGAAGTAAACTTGCTCGTGGAACGTGCAGGCTATCGCCTGGCCCAAAGAACACACGTTTAGTTTTAGTAAGAGTTTTACGGCACTTGCAACACAATAAGGTCATATAAGTGCCGAAGATTAGAGGTGTTATAAGAGAGTAACACACGTAACATAGAAGGAGGGGAGATAAGGACGTAGTAGTGCCATAGAAAGATTATCTATGGGAAAATTGAACGGCTGAATTATGGTACCCTTCACAGCGATCAGTTTGTGGTTCGGTTAACAGCAACAACCACAGCCCATAAGCCTACCCACCTATTTTGTGAGGTAGCGTTTAGGTGCGTCACCGTCGCACACAGGAGACCCGAGTTCGATTCCCAAGAGGGGAGTATATTTGTTGAGTATTTTGGTCTTTCTGCTTGTATGGTGTATCCCTCTCAGCATGCCTCCTAAATTGTGTCGGTGGGGACGTAAAGAACACGAACATTAAAAAAAGAACTAGTAAAGGCCTGTGTTTTTTTGTTAATGTTATTTGTTGGTTTGTTGTTTGTTTGCTTGTTTATTTGTTTAGTTAGTTTGTTTGTTTGAGATTTCTGCTTGATGTCCGTTTTAGTTTTTCAGCTTTCAGGAATAATCTTAATGTTTAACAAGAATTTTAAAGATAATCAGAAGTAGTACATATTCATATAACAACTAAAGACGGACAATTTTGCAGAGTTATAAAGATAACAATAACTATATTATTTCTATGCTATTGCTATAACATTGCTAGCTCATTATTCTGTTGTTATTGTTATTGTCACAACCATTAATTATCGTTATATACTTTTAGACTTATTATATCTTTTGTGGGTGTGGTTATTGGTTTTTGCTGTCATCGTTGTTGTTATGATGATATTAGTATTATCAGTGTCATCATTATCATTATAATCATATTTATCACCATCATCATCATCACATGTATTAACAGTACAATAAATATCATTTATGCTGCGTATTTCCATTTTCTAAATAATGCTCAATGTGCATTACCTTAATAGAGATATCACATTAATATCTAAAAAGTTAATGGACATATGTGTACGTAGAACACAGTATTAGGTATATATATATATATA